CATTGATTCTCGATCTGATTATCCCAAGATATGTGGATTTTGTGTCATCTACACCTATGAGTACCTGATGTAAATATCAGTACCATGCTAGCTGTTCTAAAGAAGATGAGCCATATAGAAGTTGACTTGGAGATAAACATGCTTGAAAAAGAGGAGCAAATGAAGCTGGAAACTGTTTACAAAGAGAGCAAGTGTTTAAAACCAAAACAATGTCGTTCTACACATCAAAGAGAGCCTCCTGATCGTGCCAAGACATCACTGGTTCAAATTAAGATGCAAGAATACCAGCTTAAACCGCCAAAGCCTCCAGACCGCATATATGGACCTACTCTTGAATTTATGAAGCCATTTATAGAAAGCTCGGATCTACATGAAGCCAGCATTATATTCAACTGTCCTAAGATGCTTAATGAAGATATAGAAGCCAATAACCGGAGCCAAACCAAAGAAGAACCACCAAATCCTCTCAAACTATCAAATCATATAAATAGAGCATTATTGGAGCCAAACAAGGAAACTCTGGATATATGTCTTACCAAGACATTATATTCGCCTTCCCTCATGTCCATAAGAGCTTACAAGATTCATCACACACCAGATAAAATCAGCACTCTTCCCCTTCATCAGAAGTCAAAGAAGATTACACCAAAGAGAAGCTTTCCTTATTCGGCGTTAAATATCTTGTTTCCAAAGGAAAGCAAGACCATCAGTTATCTCTAGCATCTCATCTCGACCCTCCATCCTATCAAGCAGATACTGAACGTCCAAACCTCACTGAATACCACAGATTAGTTCCATGAATCAAGCCATTCTTCCCCATTCATTCCAATGGCTAGAAGACCAAGATAACACATATTTTTAGCATGATTCTTGCTTTCTGCTTTAATTCATGTTACCGTTTTATACACTTTATTTGAGCATTATATAAGCTCAAACACCCTTAGTATTTGAAGACACCGAGAAAAATAATCAAGAAAACTCTTTTGTTTTGTTTACAAAGAAGATTTCTTTGCATCAAACATGTCCCTGCGAATTTAAACCCTTTGTGGAATCAGAGTGTTTGTATTTCGTATAGAGTGGCTATTCTTGTGAGGATTAGCCCTTGAAGAGTTAGAGTCTAAATCCTGGTGTTTGGGATTCAAGCACAAAAAGTTTATCAATCAACAAACTATTCCTCCATCTATCTAAGTTTGAAGATCAGATTCGAGAGTGTATAACTTGGAGTAATCCAGTCTTACATCAGTACCTCTGTGAATTTGCTGGATAATTGGTTGATTAGATTTTCGAACTTGGAGAGAATTGCAGATTTTTGGTATGATTTGTTTCTGGAAGATCGTTAGGAATTTTTAAAATTTTAGAAATTTTTTCCTAAATCGTTCTAAATCTTATGAAACAAAAATATTTTTTTTTTAAAAGATGAATGATAAGAAGAAGAGGAAGAAGTAAAAAAAGATTTAAAAAATGACAAAATTAAAGGAAAAAAAAGTCTCAGGAGAAGATGAAGGTTATAAAAGACAAAGTAGAAAAATGGATGAGTTCTTTTTTTTTAAGAATTCTAATGAGATTGTTGTATCTACTGAGCTATTTTTTGTATTGATTTAGAAATATTGTATATATTTATTGGGTCAATTTGCTCAATATACATATTGGATAAAAAAATAAAGAATATAACCATAGCGATTTTAAAATTAAACATATAACCAAAAACCCTAATCCTTATATTTTATGACGAAATAACCCCTACTAACTATCAAGCAAAAAATAGTATAGTCTTACATCATTTTTACTATTTTCTGTTTCATTCTATACTATTTTCTGTTCCATTCTATACTATTTTATCTTGTAAATCATAAATTGTATTTATGAAACTTATCTTTCAAAAAATAGTTTACAAAATATAAATTTCAAACGATAAAACTAAACTCCAAACCCCAAACTATTTTAATCTATACTAATTTTTTTGCTATTTTATCTTACAAAATAATATAATCTAGTTAATAGAAAAACAATTGTGACCCCTGAAAATAAACTTACATATTTTAAAACTAAACGCAAGCCACTACTTACTATACCCAAACCTCCAAACTTAAACTATATGATGTTATATGCCGTAATTCGTATTCCGCTATAGACCCCCGCAAATAAACTCACATAATTAAAACTAAACCTAAATTAATACTTACTATATCTAAACCCTCGAACATAAACTAAAGTTACGCATGTTGAATAATCCGAATTCATTTAAAATTAAACTCAAGTCACTACTTACTATGTTCAAAAAAATATCACTACTTACTATATCCAAACCTAAACTATATGACCATAACTCTTAATCTGCTATAGACCTCTAAAAATAAACTCACATGATTTAAAACTAAACTCAAATCACACAAATCTTCGAACATAAATCAAAGTTATTATGTATGTATAATAACCCTAATTATTTTTCATTATTTCCCTTCTCAGCAAAATGGTCATGAAATATATTTTCGTCTAAAAATATAGAATGTTATTTACCATAGAATACAAAATAGAATAGAATACAAAAACATAGTATATAATACAAAGGTTAATTTGGGTATTATACACATTATACAAAGAATATCATAGCCATAAATTTAATCTGGTCGCAAAACTAAATAACATTTCTGTAATAGTTACTGAGCCAAATTTTTCATATTTATTTTCTTCAGAAGCTATCGATTTCTTCAAGCTTAGAAGCCGAAGGCAAAGCGTTACTAGTAACCCTCCAAAGTTCTTGGATTATAGGTTATGAAAATATCAATTTTGAAGGCGATTATTTAATCCTTACTCAGTTACTTCAAACTAATGATCAAAACATCTCTATTCTGAATCTGCTGGAGGACCTTCACAGCTGGATGTCACGCTTCAAAGACATACAATTAACACATGTAAAACGGGATTACAATACTATTGCTCATAAGTTAGCTCAAAGGGTCCTCTTAATGGATTGTCTTACTCCTCTTGCTCGCAACGGCCATATTGGCTAAACAAACTTTTGTTTTTGGATTGTCCTAATTCTTGATTTAATATAAAAATTGTTGACAAAAAAAACTATCGATTTCTTATAATGTGTATGCCACACGTAGCGTAGACGACTTACTTATTACTAAATTGTATTAAAAAAATAAGTATTTGTTTGACACACTTACGAAAACAAAGAAAATAAAATATATTAAAAATATTATATTAATAAAAGATTGAAGTAATAATAAATAGTTAGAACAATAGAATCCACAAATCAGTTTTGGGGATTAAAATATTTAAATAAATTTAAAATAATCGAAAATTTCAATTTTGATTTGATCGAAAATCAAAAATGTTTATTTATTTTTTGTTCAAATATTCATTTATTAATATTATTTATTTTATATAATTAATTGTAAATTATTTGGTCTAGGCAAAACGTGGAGAACACACTTTCACACTTTGTTTTATTCAAACTGGCAACCAGTAGTATACCCGAAGATAATATGGAGGTGACAGCTCGTGAGGTATGGAACAATGGTTCGGGATGGCAGTTTACGAGTTTAGCACCCTACTTATCGATGAATACTAGACTGCAACTGGCGGTGGTGGTCTTGGATGATGTAACAAGGACAAAAGACAGGATATCTTGGGGTGGTTCTCAAGATGGTAACTTCACAATGAAGTCAGCGTATGCTTTTCTGACTAGGGATACAGCTCCGAGACAGTGTCTACAGGGTCTCTATCATCGGGTTTGGAGGGTGGTGGTGCCAGAAAGAATGAAGGTTTTCTTATAGTTGGTGGTGAATCATGTCATTATGACTAATATGGTGAGATAGAGAAGTCATCTATCAGACTTCAGCATATGTCAGGTGTGTAAAGGGGGGTGAGGAGACAATCTTACATGTACTGAGAGACAATCCTGCAATGCATGGGATTTGGACCCGCATCGTTCCCCCGGGTAAGCAACAGCTGTTTTTTGAACAAACTTTGCTTGAGTGGATTTATGGGAATCTAGCTGAGAATGCAGAGGTACAAGGAGTTGCCTGATCGACTTTATTTGCAATGTCAGTATGGTGGGAATGGAAATGGAAATGCGGTAATGTCTTTGGGATTTCTGGTAAATGTCGTGACAAAGTACGATTCCTAAAGGACTTGGCTAAAGAGGTTTTAGAAGCGCACATGAAATTAAAGGGAAACCAAAGTGTGGTCTCGAGAGTGGAAAAGCAGATATCATGGAGCCCGCCACAAGGGAATTGGGTGAAATTGAATACAGATGGAGCGTCACATGGTAATCCCGGTCAAGCAACAACGGAAGGGGTGTTGAGAGATGCAAACGGAGATTGGCTCGATGGATTAGCACTCAATATTGATATCTGCTCGGCACCGTTGGCTGAGTTATAGGATGTCTACTACGGTCTATACATAGCTTGGGAACGTCAGATTACTCGGCTATAGTTAGAGGTGGACTCCGAGATAGTTGTTGGGTTTTTGAGAACAAGGATAAACGATTCACATCCACTGTCATTCCTGGCAAGCCTGTGCCATGGCTTCCTCTCAAAGAACTGGATAGTCCAGATTCGTCATGGGTATAGAGAAGCTAACCGTTTAGCCGATGGTCTAGCTAACTAGGCATTTTCTTTGCCTCTAAGATTTCATTCTTTTGAATCCGTACCAAATAGTGTTTCTTCGATTATGTTTGATGATATTATTGGCTTGTTCCATTCTCCGTTTGTGAAGATGTAAAATGCAATGAAATACACTTATTTTCAATAAATTGCAGGGGACTTTCGTCTCCTGCCGAAGACCAAAAAAAACGAATGGAAAGAGAATGAATATAAAATTGGACATTTTAATTACCCGTTTAAAAATAAATCCCCTGAACTAAAATGGAGGGAAAGACTAACGTTACAATAAATAATTGTTAATGACAATTTTACCCTTAGATTCAATTATCGTCATTACTGGAAAATTATTTTTTCTCGATTCGCTTATATGCCCCAAAAATATATTATACCCTAATTCCATTCTCTCTATCTCTCTCCAGTTTCACATCAGAGCTAAACCCTTGATCGTTTCATTTCACTAAGTTCTCTCTTCCTTTTCTTCTACAGCGATTCCACAATGCCAATCTCTGGTGAATCTCAGACTCTGACTCGTTGACTTTCCGGCTTCGCTCTCGCTTTCTCCGTCCGATTCCCTCGCTTTTCCGTCCGATTCAGCCACGCTCTTCCCTAAACATCATATTTCCTGGTACGGCCACGTGTTCCGTTTATGCTCTTCTGATTAGGGTTTCCGAATTTCTTCTTCTTACCGTCGCTTGATCTGTTTCCGTTTAAATTTTATGATGTTACGAGTGCGTTAATTGTGATTGAAGTTTTCACCCGTTTTTTTTTAATTTGATTTTGATTTCTTATTATTTTTGGCCTTAGGGGTCTCTGCTAATCTCTGCGAAAGTGTAGAGTTACTTATATGGAAAAAAATCTGACAACATTATGCCCAAAGAAGATAATAATATCAAGCAAAAAGGTTTTAACATAAACGAGTGTAATGCAGTTAATCTTAGTCTCAAGGCTAAGCCTGAAGCTGATAGCTTGGTGGAAGATGGGATGGAGATAACTCCAAACGGTGGTAACATGGAGAATGTAATCGAGATGAAGAATAAGAAAAAAACGGTGGAGGTTAAGCCGATGGATCGTGAGGTTATCATCACTCGGAAGGTTCTTCGCTCAGGCTCTGTGGAAAGGGATACAGAAAACAGTGACAAACATCATGGGAAGGGTGGTCGTAAGGGAGATCTATGTAAGGACATGATTAGTTCTGTTGATGAGGTGAAAGAAGAAGGAAAACGTGAGCATGTGGAGTCTCCAGTACCTGAGGAGACTCATGGTGATGGTTTTAGAAGTCGAGTTAAAGTGGAAGATGAGGATGATGTAAGCGGAAAAGAAGTGCCAGTTAAACGCCAAAGGGGAACGCCTCATAAGTTGCAGATCAGCAGTCAATCTGATGGTAATGAGAAAAAGCTTATTGGCGTCAGCTTCGTTCAAGAGGAGGAAGCAAAAGTAAAGCTTGAGTCTGAGCAATCTGCGGAAGATAAGATGATTCTTGGAGCTGATTTTAGGAGTCAGGTTAAGGTTGAAATCAAGGATGATACATCATATGGTGAAGATGGGAATGTCGAGCCACATGATGAAGAGGTCAAAGTTAAACGCAAGCGTGGAAGGCCTAAAAAGTTTCAGGCAAGCAGTCAATCTGACGAGAGCGGCTCTAGCACAAACTGTAAACTTGCAAGAAGTCCAGATATGAGCAGCGTTAGTTTGAAACCTCAGCGTAAGCGTGGACGGCCTCCAGCACCAAAGACAAAGAGGAAATCTGGGGACGCAGGTAGATCAGATTGTGAAGCAAAGAAGAGACTGAAGGTTTGTGAGAGTCTCTACAACCCCTTAATTGATGGAGAGAAGAGGATTGGAGAAGTACAAAACAAGCAGATTGAAGCTGGAGAACAATCTAAATCAAAGTCGAAGAAAATGCTGAGTGACCGGATACTACAGTTACTTCTAGCTGCTGGTTGGAAAGTCGAATACAGGCCTCGATATGGGAGGCTATATAATGATGCTGTTTATGTCAATCCTGAGGGAAAGACTCACTGGTCAGTGACCAAGGCGTATCAAGTTTATAAAAATCATTTGGAAAGGAGCATGAATGATCAAACGAACTCTACCACAGGCTCTGGTTTTGGCTTGCTATCAGAAGATGACCTTCACCTATTAGTGAGAAAAATTCAGAAAAAAAGGAGCGACAAAGGCAAGCAAAGGCAAAACTGGAAGGACATAGATACTAATGACAAAATGGTCTCAGCAAAGGGAATAGGAAAGCGTGCACTACATGGAAAGGAAGGGCAGAAGAAACGGAAAGGGAGTGATAGGTCACACAGCTTAGAAAGAATCTCAGTGTCAAAACGAAAAATAAAGAGGGAAGAGAAGCATAACAGAAAGCGCGGTGCTTTGTCTGCTCGCAGTTCTTTGAGCGATGCAGATTCCAAAGAGAATGGTTACATTTTATTTGAAGGGAAACGCACCATGCTGGGTTGGATGATTGATTCAGCGGTTGTGCCACTTTACGGGAAAGTTCAGTGTATGAACTGCAAAAAGACTCAAGCGCACCTAGAAGGAATGATTACAAAAGAGGGTATTCGATGCAACTGCTGTGACGAAGTATTCTCTGTTTTCGATTTCGAGGTTCATGCTGGAGGTAAGCACAACCAGCCATTCAGAAGTCTGTATTTAGAGGGTGGGAGGTCTCTGTTGGAGTGCTATCTTGAGTCTTGGAATAAACAAAGCGAAACAGTGCTTAAAGGGTTTCATACCGTGGATTTTGGTGTTGGGGATCAGAATGACGATACATGTGCTATATGCGGGGATGGGGGAGATCTTATCTGCTGTGATGGTTGCCCATCAACCTTCCATCAGAGCTGCTTGGGAATCAAAGTAAGTTGCACCTTATGATGTGAAAATTTATGTTGAAAGTGGGTTTCTTAAGCAATAACTATGTCTTTTGGTTTAAAATCTATGTTATTGCAGCTTCTTTCTATATGAAGTGGCTTATTGTTTCTGTTTCTTCTGTACAATGTAGAAATTCCCTTCTGGTGCCTGGTTTTGTTGCTACTGCTCATGCAAATTTTGCGAGAAAGTTGAGGCAGCTAATCATGACACTACAACTCTTTCTACTTTGTTGAGGTGCCGCCAGTGTGAAGAAAAATGTATAAATTACACTATAAAGACAGATTATTTTTTTAGTTTTTCTTATGTATCAGCTTCTGTTAAACTTTTTAAAATGGGTTTTGAGCTCAAAACATTACCCTCCATACCTTTGCAGATCACCAAACATGCATCAAGCAAGAAAGCATGGTGCCTGGTGAAATAAGTGCTCATTCATTTTGTGGAAAGTACTGTCAAGAGGTAGCCTTCCTTTCTTTTCTTTTAATTGAATCACTTGGTGCAGTTTGCAAATAGAAATTCTTAGAAGTCTGAACCAAAGGTGTTTTGTGTGGGAACCTTTGTAAAATTTATTTGGATGTCATTTATACTTGCAATCTTTTATAGAATTAACGAATTTTTTTTGGCTATACAATTATGGAATTCGAATTTAATGAAAGAGCCTCTCTGGCTCTGTGCCAAGAGAGAACTCGGTATGGAAAGATTTGGATGTTCTTAATATGTTATCTCCATTTGTCAACCAAGGCTTTCTGTTTAGCATACTGTGGGTGATGATTCTTGGGGGCTGGAGAAAAGTACGTGGCTAGGAGGGTAAGTAATCCCAACTAGATAATCTTATCATAGATAGTTAACTTTTAGATTCAGGGGGACTATTAAAAAGTAAAAAGTAGTAGTATAGCGAAAATACCTTCACATGGTTCTTATAATTAGATGGATTTCCTTTAAACTTTCATTTTCTTGTGGATTAATGAAGGTCAAAAAGGACACTTTGCAGCTGTATTTATAGATGTGAGGCAGCAGGTTAAAGTAAAAGTGTTGAACAAAAAGGGCTCTAATTGACATTAAAGTCATGAATAAATAGATTTCCTGAACAAATAGCTTTCTATTTTACAGTTATATATGTGGTAACTTAATGAATATACGCTGATTGTTTCATTTGTTTCTTCTCCTTTTTTTTAGTTATCCGAGGGACTTCAGTTACTCATTGGAGTAAAACATCCACTGCCTGAGGGCTTCTCCTGGACATTCCTTCGCCGCTTTGAGCTCCCTCGTGAGGTTCTGGATAGTGACATATCTGAGAAGATTGCATATAATGCCAAACTGGCTGTTGCATTTTCTGTTATGGATGAGTGCTTTTCACCTTTAGTTGATCACAGGAGTGGTGTCAACCTGCTTGAAAACATTGTTTATAATTTTGGGTAAGCTCATTTTCCTTACATGCTTCTGTTATGTTCAAATTGTCATTGGCAAGCCTTTTAGGAATCTGTCTTCTGTGCAATACCTATGAAATCTATTATTTGGTTGTGCGTGCATATTGTGATAACTCGGCTCTGAAAATAATTCGTCTAAAGGCTTTTGTTGTTCATACAAGTGGGGCAATGTGTCCTTTGTTTTCCGCTTCCTCTATCTACCTTTTCGTGTAAGATTATTGACTAGGTGAATCTAAGTGACTGTATTGACTAAGATGTAAACAGTTCATATACTACTAGATTATATTTAAACCTTTTCCTATTGTTCTGTAGGTCGAACATCCATCGGCTAAATTACAGCAATTTTCGTACTGCTGTTTTGGAGAGGGGTGATGAAATCATTGGTGTGGCATCTATCAGGTGCGTCTGTGGTATTATGAAATTGATTAAAAGGGTTAATAAGTTTCTAGTCTTCAAATAGCTGGAATAGCCAGTAAAGCATTACCTAAATGTGGACATTACACAGTTTTAACCATAGTAATGGGGCTGTATGCGTATATGAGTCAGCTTTTCTTCCTGTGAGCATATTGAGAACAGAAATGGTTTTTCTTTTACTCAGGATCCACGGCAATCAACTTGCAGAAATGCCGTTTATAGGAACCCGCTATATGTACAGGCGTCAAGGAATGTGTCGTCGACTAATGAACGGCATTGAAACTGTAGGCCTTCCATATCCTGTCAAAGCCTAAATTCTTTCTCTCTTTTGTTTCTCTCTGTTATGTAGTCTGATGGTTTATATACGTTTCAAGTTCTTATTTATTGCTCTCAAGTGTTGCTTGCTATCTGTGAGGTTTTATTAGATGTCTGCTGGTTTTGGTGTCAATGACCATTCTGCTTTTTAGAGGATCTTTAGACAGGTGCGTTTATAAATCTAGGAAAGTGTTTAGCGTCCATGTTCCTAATAAACATGATATACTAAATTACAAAATGTTTGCTAGATTATATTTAGCTAGGTATCTGATCTCAATTATGTAAAAGTGATACATTTTAGGTTTATCTTATCTGATTTTGGATAGATGATTCGAACTTGTCAAGTTTCTTTTCAGTGTGCCATATCTCTTCACCTGATATGTACTATATGAGTATCGTTTTTGGTTTTACACTTCATTTTGTGTAATACAGTAGATTGTTTTGTTCACAATTACGAAGATCCATACTTACATGTGCTTTGTTATCAGGCGCTAGGCTCTCTCAAAGTTGACAAACTAGTCATACCAGCAGTGCCAGAACTAATGGATACATGGACCTCAGGCTTTGGCTTCAGGCCTGTTGATGAATTAGAGAAGAAAACAATTAAGAATCTCAATTTAGTGGTGTTCCCTGGTGTAGACATGCTGGAGAAACCACTGGTGAAGGAGTCGAATGTTTCCTCTTCAAATGGTACTAGTTCAGTTTCCATTGCCATCTGTTTTTTTTAATAATATGCTCATGTTATGTGCACATTCATGGGACTTGACTTAAAACTACTACAGGTGATCTGCCGTTGGCACCTGCCATGAGCGTGCCTGTAGATGTTGAGGAAACTAAACTATGTGTGAAGTCAATGGATGTAGACGAGGCAGATAATAATGTTGCAGAATCCAATCCGAAGCTACTTAACGTATCCCTAGAGGAGAAAGATGAGATCGGGAAACTTACAGATAAAGACGAGTCTCTTCCCGATGTAGTTGATAACCAAAGAGAATCTAACTTAGGAGTGGCTGATGATTCACATGCGGATCAAACTGGTACTAAAAGGCAGGAGAGTGGTGATTTAGAAGATAAGACGCCTTCTGGAGTTAACGCAGAGGTTGCTGAGGAGTCAGATGATTGTTACATAATAGAACAACCTCAGCGACTTGGTAATGGTGGTACAGAGAAAAAGATTGACAACAAAACTCTAGCGCTAAAGAAACAAGTGCCTTCGAAGTTGCGAGCATCGCCTCGATTGAATCAAAGATCATGGAGAACATCGACGCGGGTGAAGCAGAAGTACACAGGTCGGACTAATGGTGTATTGCTTAACTCTTCACAACAGTATGTTTAATGGTTGATGCATAGACAGGATCTTTTGTTGTTTGTGCATATACCAGAAACTAACGCATTTTGTCGAAAGATGAAAGAAAAGTAGTTAGATTATATGCTAATTGCAGTGTTTAGTAGTTTCATTAGTGGCTCGAGACAGGTTAAGTAGCCTTGCACTGCTCGATGCTTTTGTTAGACTTTAATTTTTGGGTAGCAAACACTTAAAAGTTCTCTCATCTGCATTATGTAATATTATATATATATTGAGCTGCTTCCTCTTATATTTTAATGTCTAAACATCGTCTGGGTTATTATGATCTTTCTTCTCTCTTAACGCCTAAGGGGTGGACACAAAAACTATAACCGAAAAAACTAAACCATACTGAACCTAAAAATCTATTTGGTCATTATTTTTGTATAACTTTAGTTTAAGTTTGGTTTGGTTAAAAATTGTCAAACCAAAAGGTTTTTTCGGTTTTTAAAATATAATATTTATAAAAAAATTCTACATAAAAGTAATAAAGTAAACCTTAATTTTTCAATAAAAAATAACATGATTAACTCTTTTTTCTTTACATTCAAGTTTTCTAGTTCTAGTTTCAAGGTTATAGGTATTAAATTTTAATCTAGATTTATTTATTGTTTTATAATTATTGATTATGAAAGATTTAATAATTTATTTGTTTCTCTGTTTTGAAATCTGTCGTTATTGATGATTTTTTTATGATTTAGATTCTATTTTTTGAATTTATTATTTTATTTCACTCATATCTATTATTATTATTTCTATTAGTTTGAATCAAAAAATTTCGCAAAAATATAATTCTAAAAAAATCGAAACCAAACCATAATAAACTGAACCGTAAAAAACCAAACCATACCGAACTGAAATATATATGGCTTTTATATGGTTTGAATTTTCGTAAAATCAAAGAAACCGAACCGTAAAATCGAAGAAACCGAGCCGAAACCAAACCAAAAACCAAAATGCCCACCCCTACTGGCTAATATGACGATTTTGGAAATTGTATTATGTCTCTGTTATTAGTATTCAAAATTAATGTTTCTACTGAAGTATGTGTTTTGTTTTTCGAGCGAAGTTAATAAAATAAGATACCAATGTTTGAAAAGAAATTTTTTTAAATTTGCTAAGCACATGATTTCAGATCTTTTCTTTTTAACAAATTAGGTGATATGACCAGTTTACATACAAAACTTGTTTTTTATTATTATCATATTTCGTCTATATTTTCTATATCTAGAGTGCCCTTGTCACATGTTATAGAAAAAAACATAATTACAAGGAATGCCATTATTTTTTAATTCCACATCAGAAAAACGCGCCGCCACGTTAGAAATAGCTGACGTATATTAATGAACTCAGCCGTAAAGCGCTACAACGGCAATGACGGCTGAGTTACGGTATGTTGCGGCTGATTTAAGGAAAATGGCTGAGTTATGAGCTAATGGCTGACTTACGTGTATAACCCAGCCTGGTGTTTCGGCTGACTTAATGAAAATTGTCTGAGTTATGAGAAAACGGCTATCTTACGAGCATAACCCAGCCATAAGTTACGGCTGAGTTATAGCCCGATGGTTGATTTGTCAAAATTTGGCTGAGTTATTGTTTCGACACGACTGAATTAACTTTCTCCGGCTGGCTGAGTTATTGCTTTGTTACGGCTGATTTTCATGTAAGTGTCATAAATCAGCTGTAATGAGCTGGGTTAACGAAAAACTCGGCCTAACTACAGCTGATTTAGTAGAGAAAGAATAATTACCACAATAGCATGCTTTGACGGCTGACTTATTAAACGATAGAGCTGAGGTAAAGATTTTCAGTTGAGTTACGACATTTAACGGCTGAATTTGGCAGCCATTTTTTCGTTTTTAATTACTGTAATAGTATTCATGTTACGACTGACTTAAAGTTTTGTTTAATGGCTGGTTTAAGACAGATGATTTATGTGTTCGTTTGGTGGCTTACTTGCCACTTCATCAATTAAAAAATGACGTCGGATGCATATTTCTATGTCATCATCAATAGAAAAATACGAAACGTCGTCTTCGTCTTCCTCGTCGTCGTCGTCTTCCTTGTCATCGTCATCGTCTTTCTCGTCGTTGTTGTTCTTCACATCAACAGAGATATCCAGAACTTAAATTTTTGAACATCCAATTCGTCATCGTCTTCCTCGTTCTTCTTCATTTTTGTTCATCCTTCTCCGATATATGATGGATCCGGTTTCGGTAATTGTAGTTTCCGGTAATTGGGTAAAAAAACACAAATATGTATTTGACACTGACGATAGAAGGTGTAGAGTTGTGCAGATAGATGCGGAAACAATGCACGACAAACTTGTGAAGTTGGTTCTCGATGACTACAGATTGAAGGAGTTGAGCCATCAGGTAGAGCTGAGCTACATGTTCTCGAACAAGGCTATGAAAAATATGTCGCATGATACTCCACCAGTTTATGTCTCCAATGATCGACAGTTGCAATGTTTTCTAAGCATATGGAAAATCGATCAGCTACGTCTCTGTGTGGAGTTTACGGAGAAAGAGTCTAGCGAAATTAGTCGGAAGGATGGATTGAGAGGAAGGATGAAACGACCAATCAGTTTTGACTCAAAAGTAGAATCTAGATATGAAGATTACGGTGGGGGATTTGATGGTTTCTGTTATGATTATAGTAAAAACCAAGACGAAGAAGACGATGAAGATGTCGAAGAAGCAGATGACGAAGAAGAAGATGATGAATTTTCATGCCGATTTGATGTTTTCGACGACTCCGATGGTGCGTCATCTGATGATGATAACTTTACTGTATACGGAGAGCCTTACAATAAAGACGAAGTTTCACCGACTCTGCCTCCTAAGAAGAGACTTTAGAACATTGAAATGACCGGATCGATTGGGAACTCGGAGGGTTTAAGGTTGGAGACGTATTCACTAAACCTCGCTGTAGGACAACTATACGGGAACAAAGACAAGTTGGAGAAACGATTGAAACTTCTTTCGGTAAGGGATGGATTTGATTTTGATGTACCAGTATCAAATCTGAGTACAGTGATTATTAAGTGCTGGGTGGATGGATGTCGTTGGAGAGTTCGTGCATCTAAACAAGGGGATGAGCCGCATTTTTATGTTCGTATATACTATTCGGAACACACATGTTCTATGACGTAACGTTCTATCGATCCCGACAAGCAACACCTGATATTTTGGGAGCTCTTTACAGGGACTTTCTTGGTGACGTTGGTCCGCCCGTTAAACCTCGCAGTGTCGGAATAATTATTAATAAGCATTTTAGTATAAAGGTAATAGATTGTTTGCAGCTGACTTATAGATTGTTTAATGGCTGGCTTATTGATATATTATGCCTGAAATGTCATTACGTTACGGCTGGGTTATTCTCATTTTGGCTGATTTATTAATACACTCCGGCTGACTTATAGGTTGTTGACGGCTGACTTATCAGTACGTTATGGCTGGGTTATTCTCATTTCGGCTAATTTATTAATAAATTATGGCTGACTTATAGGTTGTTTACGGCTGAGTTATAAATATATTATGGCTGACTTATAATTACGATATGGCTGGGTTATTCTCATTTCGGCTGATTTATTAATATGTTGGTGTCAACAGATGGATTATTGGAAGTCACATAGGACGCTAAGGTTTGCAAGGCAGACGATCTAGGGACTCCTGAGAGAAGTTTTAAAGAATTGCCTTTTTACCTATACATGATAAGACAGACAAATCCAAGTACAGTCACGCGTCTTCAAATTGATGAGTGTGGAAGATTCAAATATGTGTTCATTTCTTTTGGTGCGAGTGTTGCTGGGTTTCCTTTCATGCGCAAAGTTGTTGTTGTCGACGGTATGTTTCTCCATGGTAGTTACAAAGGGACGCTTCTAACAGCCCTAGCTCAGGATGGTAATTTTCAGATTTTCCCAATAGCTTTCGGTGTTGTTGACACTGAAAATGATGATTCTTGGCGTTGATTTTTTACGCAACTCAAAGTTGTTATTCCTGACGATAAGGATCTTCGATAATCTCGGACAGAAATAAGTCAATAGGGAAAGCAATTGGTGATGTGTATCCGTTGGCTTCTCGTGGAATTTGCACTTATCATTTGCATAAGAACATTTTGGTGAAATTCAAAGGAAAACATTGGTTCCCTTTGGTGAAAAAAGCGGCAAGGTGTTTTAGGCTGGCTGATTTTACTGAGGCGTTCAATGAGATTGAAGCGCTTCATCCTGAACTACATGGATACCTCCAAAGAGCTGGTGTCCGAATGTGGGCGTGTGTTCATTTCCGGGGTGAAAGGTACAATTTAATGACTACGAATATTGCGTAATCAATGAACAAAGCACTGTCAAATGCTAGAAGTTTTCTCATAGTTCGACTGTTAGAATCGATACGGACTATGATGACCAGATGGTTTGCTGAACGGAGAGAGGATGCGAAATCGCAGCTAACAACGCTCTCACGAGGTGTTGAAAAACTGTTACAGGTAACTCAGTTGTAATCTTTTACATAAGTTAGTCGTCAAATGCTCATAAATCAGACATTATTTTCATAAATCAGCCTTAACGTTTTTTTTTGGTTCTTCTCTCTATTAGGCCCGTGTCACCGCAGCAAGACTTATGGATGTACAAACGATTGATGCTTTACGTGTACAAGTAACATATGGAACATATTTGCATGCTGTAAATGTGGATGCAAAAAGATGCACATACTGTCGTTTCGACCACGAAAAAATACCATGCGTCCATGCAATCACAGCTGTAGAGCATATGGGTGTGTCTCGTATATCCCTGTGCAGTCCATACTATAAGAGCAGTTATTTGGTTAATGCATACGCTGATTCAATCATGCCTTCAGATACGGCACTACCTGTTCCTCAAATTGTAACTATCCAACCGTGCTTGCCTCCGATTGTTGTAAACCAGCCAGGAAGGCCCAAGAAAATTAGGATTAAATCATCTTTGGAAGTTTCTCTTGGAAATAAACGCCCTAGGAAGCAACATGCATGTTCTCGATTAAAAAAGTTGGGCATAATGCGAAAACTTGTCCGACATAGTATTGTTGGCATGTATTTTCTTTTCCCTATTTGGTAATGGCGAACATGACTGTTGGTTTATGTGTTTTATGTTTATGTGAAGCATTATAACTCAGCCGCGAAACCCTAATTTGTTAATCTACGCAACCTTTCGTCTTTCGTGAAGTATTATAACTCAGCCGTGAAATGTAGATTTGCCGCGAAACCATAAGTTAACCTACGCAACCTTTCGTCTTCCGTGAAGTATTATAA